GAGGAGGAGGAGGAGGAGGAGGAGGAGGAGGAGGAGGAGGTGGTTATTATGCATGACAATCTGTTCTTGCAGATATTAGCAAAATTGTATGTTATTGAACTTAAAATCTTGAAATTTGTTCTGTCACATCTTTGATCCTTGTTTCTGGCAGACAGCCACTTTGCAAGCTGACATGGCTAGACAGCATACATTTGTCTGAATTTCACATAATAGTGAGTCACCAATTATCACGACTCTTTTCTTTCTCTTCTTAAGAGGGCAAAGATGCATCCTGTCTTGTCTTGAAGGATCTACTACTGTTATGTTTTCTGTTTTGCAGTGTTTCTTTTCTTTCCTTAAATGATCACAGCCCATTTTATCTGCAAGGCCTCAAATGTATTTATTATTTCTAGCAGAATCTTCTATGTCTCTTGCTTTTAATTGTTGTATTTTATTCCAATTCCATTTTAAATCATATTTTATCAAATGTCAATTTAAATTGCTTTATCAAATGTTAGTAACAATTGTTTCTGGAACTTTGGACTTTGATATGGCCCAAGGGCTAATCAATAAAGACTCAATGTCAATGACTAAAAGTATGCACAAAAAAAGTCTATTGTTTGATTGTGATTCTGTTGAAAAATATGAATGTGCTTCCTCTCAGCTGAGAATTCAAGTCAGACAAAGGCCAGTTGAAATTCAGAATAACGGAAGGCCATTGGAGGTTCTAAATCCAATCCGTGTTCAAGCAGGAGAACCTATACCATTCCAGACAACTGGCTTTCCAATCTCTTCTTCAAAACCTCCAGTGATGGAGTATCCATAATTTCTGGAGGCAAGCTATTCCACTGATTGTCCTAGCTGTCTTTATTTCTAAACAATAAAAGCTCAAAATATGGGGGGGGGGTTCCTCCTTTTAATCAAAATACAAGTACTCATACATAATTTAAATAATACAGAAATGTGAAATGAACACCATATATTAAATGTGTATAAAATGTAAAATGAAAACTGTATGTTAATTTTTTATAAAAATGTCTACGAATGCCTGGTAAAGTTTAGCATTACTCACCACTGTTCCAAGAAACTGAATGCTAAGATTTCCACCAGCATCTCGAGAAAGGCACTGGAAGGAACAGAATAACAATTATAGTCTTATCAACAAGAAATTTTCTCCCTAAGAATTCTAACAAATTGCTTATGAAAGCAGAGACATTTGTCACTTTCAATGAAACTCATGGTTAAAGCAGAAATGTATGTGATGCAAGAAAATAAGAGTTATATTAATGTTTGACAGTATTTAGTTTTCACAGCTGAATGGAATGGACACTGGATTCACTACCTTTCAAAAATGGACTATAATCAGCCAAACAATCAGAATTGACTATAATCAATTCTCTTTCCATCAATCACTGATCAAATAAGATAGAAATCTTAAATGTCCACATATATTGTCAGAGACCACTACTAATTTTTTTTTCCTATTTGTCTTGCATTTTTGTAAATTTTGTCTATTTGTCTTGTTTCCACTTACACAGAGCTCTGCAACAAATTAATTTGAGCTCAATACAGTGGGTTAATTTTTGGCCTATGCAATAGATCTTAATCTCCATTCAACCATAAAATGTACTTAATGATTTGGGACATTGTATGAGAAGATCCATGTTATTCTATGGTGATAAAAAAAATATCAGAAAGCATCTGGTAGCATCTTTTCCAACTCCCAAATTTAATTAAAAGGCATATGCTTTGGAGAGCTGCTGCTTACCCTCAGCAGATGCACAGTTTTGGGGTAAGTGGCTTGTGGACTTCAACTCCCAGTATTCCTCAACCAGCTGGCTGAGGAATTCTGGGAGTTGAAGTCCACAAGCCACTTACCCCAAAACTGTGCATCTGCTGAGGGTAAGCAGCAGCTCTCCAAAGCATATGCCTTTTAATTAAATTTGGGAGTTGGAAA